TTTTCATCCTTCTTAACTCATCTGGAATGGTTATCAATTAGAGATTTAACTTCAGTTTGTTTTGTAAGATGGCTATTCAATTGCCTTGCACTGAGTAAACTAACATTAATCCAATTGGTTAGGAAATGCACTTCATTATCTAACATTTTATTGAATAAATTATATTTTCCTCTATTGATTTGAGTTCTTTCAGAACATTTTTCATTTTTCAATGGACCATTCTAATTTGTTTACTGGTGTGATATCTGGTCAGACAGGTCCCTTTGCTACAGTTTTGTTTTTCAGAATTGTCCTGGCTAATCTTTTTTTTTAATAATGTTTTTGTTGATTTCAGAGAGGGAGAGAGAGACAGAAACATCAATGATGAAAGAGAATCATCCCTTGGCTGCCTCCTGCACACCCCTACTCGGGCATGTGAATGGGAATCAAACCTTAGTCTCCTAGTTCCGTGGTCAGCAAACTGCAGCTTGCTTGAGTGTGGCTCTTCCACAGAATACCACAGCTTGGGTGAGTCTATTTTGAAGAAGTGGCATTAGAAGAATTTTAAGTTTAAAAAATTGGGCTCTCAAAAGAAATTTCATTCGTTGTACTGTTAATATTTGGCTCTGTTTATAATGAGTTTGCTGACCACTGTCCTAGTTCATGGATCAATGCTGAACCACTGAACCACACAAACTGAACTGTCCCGGCTACTCTTCCTAACTTATAGTTCTCATACAAATTTAGAGCAAATTTGTCTAATTTGAAAAATGAAAAATCTTGTTAGTCTTTTCATGAAATCATATTAAATTAATAGCCAACTTTAGGGAGAATTGAATTCTTTGACATTCAGGTATTCAAAAGAATAGAGTATGCTTTTCCATTTCTTCACATCTTCTATGATAACATTCAGTTTTCCTAAAATAGATCAGTATCTTCATAGAGATATTTGGAAAGTAGGAACCTTTAAAAAAAATACCTCCTAGGTCCCACTCCACACCAGCTGAATTAGAATTCTAGGGGTGGCAACTGGGCACTGTTTTGTTCTTATATTGTTTTGTTTATTAAGCTCTCCACCTGTTGATCCTATCATATAGGTGAGCTTACTCCCGGTTGTTTTATCATTTGTTGTTGGTGGTGCTATTTTAAAGTGGATCTTTCTTTCAATATATCTAACTGGTTATTGCTTATTTATGCAAACTCTATTTCTATATGTTTATTTTGTACCAAACCATCCTGTTGTTTGCAGTTTTTCAGTTGGTATCTTCTGTTTTCCATTTACATAAACTAATCTGTAGATGATTTAATGGTTCTTCAGTGAGTTTGTATGAGGTTGCCTTTGTAGGTATGTATGAATTGCTGAGAAATAAATTTCACTTCAGGCATATTCTGATGTAAAACCCTTAAGAAAGACATCTCAGTTTAGAGTATTAAGGTTAAAAGTAAAATATGCAAATCTACCTTCAATCTCCTGATTATAACTAAAGAACATAAAATAGCTAAGGCATGGACATATGTGTTAGTTTAAGGAAAAAATAAAACAATAATCATAGAAAATGGTTCTGAAAAAACAGGTATTTGAAGATAAATGTAATCTACTTGTACTATCCAAACCTTTTAATATGCATCCCTTGTTATAATTTACTAAGCATTGGGAATATTTTAAGTAGTTTAGGTACAGGATCATAATTAGGTATATTTAATTTTAAAGACAATATCTAATTCAAAATGGCATCTAACAACCAGAAAAACAGAAAAACTTGCAAGACCAAGACAAACTATAAACTGGATTTAGGACAATATTTGGGCTTCATTTTTAACAACCTCTACTGCTACCATCCTGTTACAATCTACCATACTCTGATATTTAGAATTTTGCAATAACCTCCTAAGAGGTCTCTCTGAGTCTTCCCATTGCTGATTCTATTAAAATATATCCAATCACATCACTGGATACTCAAAACGCTCCACTGGTTTCCCATTTACTCTGTAAAAGCCAAAGACAAGGCCTATAAGACCCTAATGATCTGCCAAATGTTCTCTCCTGCACACTGCCACTTTGTTCACTCTGCTCCAGCCACACTGACTCCCTGTTGTTTCCTGGCACACCAGGCATGCTCCACCTCAAGACCTTGGTGCTTGTCAATGTTTTTGGCCTGGAACGCAGTTCTTCCCTCAGATTTCCACTTGGCTCACTTTGTTACCACCTTCAGGTCACTGCTCAAATTCTACCTTCTCATAGGGCTTCCTGCTTTATTTTCCTCCATAGAAAACACCACACCCAATTTAGTGTGTGTTTTGCACATTTAATTTGTTTATTGTGTCTCCCACACCTCTTTCCCCACAAAGATGAAAGCTCCACACAGGAATGGCCTTTTGTAGCCCAAGTGCCTGACACATGGTAGAAGCTTAGTATTTGTTGAATTAATATGAGCTAGAATTAGAGTTAAGAGTTTTTCAAATATCACATTGGAGGAGAAAACTAACATTAGGTCATGGCAGGGCAGAGGGTGAAAGGAGTAGCCTTCACAATAAAGCAGAACCTTCTAGAAACTGTAAATTCTAGCAAAATTCTGCACAGGACAGTTGACAAACTATCCCTTTTTGTTTTCTTTTTCTATGAAAAAGACCAGATACTATTTTAAGCTTTGTAAGCCATATGGTCTCTGACAACTACTCAGTTCTGCCGTAGAAGCATGAAAGCAGCAACAGTAAATAACAGACAATAGTAAATAAATGAGCTTGGCAGTATACCCAGGAAACTGTTTACAAAAACACAGGATTCCATCTGTGGGCCATAATTTGTTAACCGCCAATCTATAACAATGGTGCACAACCTGGCTGCAAATTAGAATCACCTGAGTATGTTTAAAGACTATCAATGCCTGGCTCTCACTTCCAAGCATGAAGGGTTTTATTTATTAAATTTAAAAATGAAGAAATAACAAACACTTTTTTCATGTAAGAGAATGACAAAAATTAACAATGATGGGACTCAATGGGAAAAATACACATACATTGCTTGTGCACCATGTATTAAAATGCTCTAAAAATTCATGTGCTCTGCCCTACCAATTCCCATTCTAGGCTTTTATCTTAAGGGAATAACTGAATGCCAATAACTGTATGGAAGAATGTATCTGAAGGGGATTATTTCTAAAGTGAAAACTGGAAAACATTTATCCGAAAATAGGGGGCTATTTAAGTCATTGTAATTAATTTCACATTAAACATAATTACATCACATCTTTTTACTGACTGGCATAGACAGCTGTCCAAATATAATTTTAAATGAAAAAAGCAGGATACAAAATATTATATATTTTTTGTGAATATATAGATCTAGTCATTAGTCTGAAGGATATATAACTTGAGTATTAATGTTACCTCTGCATCGTGTGATAAGTGTTTTTGTTGCTAATCTGTATTGTATAATTTTTCTGCAATTAATATGTACTATTTTTATAATAAAATAAATACTTAATTTTGAAACAAACTATCTTTATGTGCCTTGAAATGATTCACTGAGGACAAATTATCTCCTGTAGTATTTCTGTCCAAAAAGTCTAATCCAGATTTAATTAAGTGGAAACAAATACACTTGGTAGAAGCTTAGAACTTGTTGAATTAATATGAGCTAGAATTAGAACTTTAGAGACAGTCTATAAAACATGTGCCATGGACCCTTCAGGCCCATCGGTGTCATGAAAGGAAAAAGGCGAAGAAATCTTTTGGCTTTACTTGGATTACTACAGCAAATGGCGAGATTGTCATTTGCACCCACCACGCCCTCCTATCCCATGCACCTTGAAGCGCCAAATGCCTCAGCCTAGGTATGTGACTCCCAGACCAGGAAGTGCAGGAATCCTACTTTCAGGGTGACTAAGAAGGAGGGTACACAAAAGACAAATTGATGCTTCCAACAAGAAAACTAAAATTTGTGGAGATGGAGGGCTAAAATAAGAGGCAGCATTTAACCTACACCATTTCCTGTAACTCGGATTTCTTTTCAAAAACTTGGCTGCCTTGTTATTTTCTTAGTCACCTTTTCTCTAAGCTTATTGGAAGCATAGTCCCTCCTAGCTACCTCCCACCTGCTGGAAGACAGAACCAAGAGAATGAGAAGCCATGATGACACATCATCGCTGGATGAAAATACTAGGGGAAAAGTAACAAATGTACTACCATTTGCATGAAACCTCTTGGTGCCCTCTTCAGACTAATGAAATGAATTTTGTATCGCCCAGAGAGCAGCTGTGATCCTCTGCTTCCAGTAATGAGTATTTGAAACTGAGGTATCTTCAAACCACTGCAACTCCTAATTGCTAAACATCACTGACTTTAGTTCAAGGAAATCCTCTCATTGTTAGCCAAAGATACATATTATTAAAGATTCATCTAATGGGATCCTCTTTGCTCAAAATGCTGTTAAGTTTCTTGTGTTTGTTTCTCTCCTGCTAGTACAAATCCACAACATGTCAAACCTTTTTTTATTGTTTTCATCAAAACTGGTTTCTTGTTTCTTTCTCTCTCCTCCCCCCACACCCCCAAATCATGGAACCAGGGGTACAATCTCAGTCAGGAGCTTCATCTCTTGTGTGTTGGTCTTGGGTTAACATGAACCTTTACAACGGCCCGGCAAAACGACCTTCTATCCAGATAAGCTCTACGGGTAAATTGGGAACCCTGGAGCCTCCAGAGCCCAGTGGTATGAGGCTCCTGCGAGGCCAGCCTGGGGGCCTTGGCAGAGATGGGAAGGGGAGAAGGACTGGGCGGGCAGACACGGAGAAGGTGGAGAATAGGAATCATGTGTGATCCTCGAGTGTTACAACCCACATTCGAGTGACAAGTGACGAAAGGCAACCTGTGAAAAACATCTAAGCACAAATATACCGGAATCCAGCTGCTTCTCTCTCGCATGCGGGTTTTCAAGTAACTTTGGAAACGGACAGAAGCGGCATCGCGCCCGGACACCTCGGTTTCCTAAGGTCTTGGGTACCTGCTCTTCCTCCAAGGTAAGGATGGAGCATCCCTCCTTCAGCCTCCCAACTCTGCCGCCGGCGCCCAACCACTCCGCACCCATCCCTCTGGGCTGGGGTCCCAACCTGACATCCGGACGGGAAGCCCCAGCTCCGGGGCCGCCGCCGCCCGGCCCGCCCGGCCGCCTGCTCTACCTGGGGGCCGTCCTGGTGGTGGCCGCGGCGGGCAACGCCAAGGTCCTGTGCCGCCTGTGCGGCAGCGGCGGGCCCTGGGCGGGTCCCAAGCGCCGCACGATGGACTTCCTGCTGGTGCAGCTGGCCCTGGCCGACCTGTACGCGTGCGGGGGCGCCCTGCTGCCGCCGCTGGCCTGGGACCTGCTGGGCGAGCCCCATCGGGCGGCGAGCGACCACGAGTGCCGCTTCGTGCAGCTGCTGCAGGTCTCCGGCCGGGGCGCCTCGGCCCACCTGGTGGTGCTCATTGCCCTCCAGCGCCAGCGCGCCCTGCGCCGCCCCCAGGGCGCCCCGCTGCCCATCCGCGCCCTCGCCGCGCTGGGCTGGCTGCTGGCGCTGCTGCTGGCGCTGCCCTCGGCGTTCGCGGTGCGCGGGGCAGCCCCCTCGGCGCCCGCCGTCCGCGCCGGGCACGGAGGGCACCGCTGTCACTACATCTTCGCGCCCCCGCCGCGCTGGCACCGGCAGGTCTACGCGCTCTACGAGGCCGCCGCGGGGTTCGCGGCGCCGGTCGCGGTCCTGGGCGTCGCCTGCAGCCGCCTGGTCCGCGCCTGGAGGCAGCGCCCGCCCCCGGCCCCGGCAAGTCCCGGCCCAGCCCCGGCCCCATCTGCCGGGGCGCCCACCGCAAGCCCCGGCCCAGCCCCGGCCCCATCTGCCGGGGCACCCACCGCAAGCCCCGGCCAAGCCCCGGCGGCCCGCGCGCTGCCCCGCGCCAAAGCGCAGAGCGTGAAGATGAGCCTGGTCCTGGCGCTGCTGTTCGCGGGCTTCCAGCTGCCCTACTTCGCCGCCCGGCTGGCCGCGGCGTGGTCGTCGGGACCGGCGGGAGAGTGGGATGCCGAGGACCTGGCGGCGGCCCTGCGCCTCGTGGGGGCGGCGAACAGCGCCCTCGATCCCTTCGTCTACCTCTTCTTCCAGGCCGGGGACTGCCAGCTCGGGCGGCGGCTGGGGAGGCGCCTGGGCGCGGACTGCTGCGCGCGGAGGGGAGTCACGGAGGACGACGAGGGGCCCCACGGCCTCCAGGCGCTCCACCGCCACCGCTGGCCCCATCCCCACTATCACCACGCTCGGCGGGAGCAGCCGGGGAAGGGCTGCCTGCGTCCCCCGCCGCCGCCCCCCTGGCCGCTGCCCTGCTCCTGCGAAAACGCATTCTAGGTGGTTCGTGGCCAGAGACAGGGCGTCTGTCGCAGCGGCACAGCCTCTGATCACAGCGGGCCGGAGGGTCTCCGAGAGAGGGGCACTGAAGCTGTCCGCTTTCTCCATTCTCCTGATATATATATATTTTTGTAATGTTTACATTTTTCCTACATTCTTCTGGTTCCTTTCAGTTCCTGTTCACATTTTTCCCACTTGGAAACCAGGGAGCAAGCCTTTGGGAAATTGTAAAAGTTATAATTTTTTTTTTTAAGTTCTCTTTTATGCTCCCATAGATTTCTGGATGACATTGTCTGTTTTAGCTAAATTGCCAAGCTTTTATTTGCTGGGTTATCGTCTGTTTTTACTTATTTTGAGTTGTGTTTCAATCAAGTATACCTTGGGGACCAGTTTGCCTTTCTTTCCAGGAGGAAAATCCCCACGTTGCTCTCCCCAGGAGCCCGGAAATTGTACCAGTGGTACTGAGAGAAATGTAATTGTGCCGTTTTTTGTTTTGTTGGGGTGGGGATGATATGTAGTGTTTTTGTTTCATGGTAGTGTGTTTTCTTAGAAGAAAATCAGTGTGGGTCTTTATCTACAACCTAGCTTCCACTCCATTGAAGCTGGTCTTGTAGGAGGGAGACATAAAGCTTCCCCTAGTCCCTTTCAAAAATGCCGAGTTTCAGTAAGCATTTATCCTTGAGCCCAGAGCAGCCTCTACATGGAGAAAAGCACCAAGTGGTGGGTACAGGGCGGGGCTCCCTGTCCCAAGGAGAGGCTCCCTGTCCCAAGGAGATTTGCAGCTAGGAAGGAAGCTGTAACCTCAGAATGCTGTATGTACATATGAAATTCCTTTTTAGAAAATCAAAGCAGTGTCTATTGATGTGGATTGCTGAGAACAAGGTCAAGGAGTAGACTTAATTGGTTCCTCATTAACTGACCTTGGTTCTGCAGCATTTATGAACAATACATCCACTTGTTTGCCAGTGTCCTTCAGCTGAGAATCTGCAAGCTTTCCCTTATAGCATTTCCTGTACATGCACAAATGCAAAACTAAGGTGCAGAAAGGAGCAAAGGTTGGTAAAATCTACTTGCAGAGTTGATGCTCTGTCAGGTTTTCGTTTTTTAATAGTTTGAAAATTAGTTGCAGACATCATATGCTTACACTTTACCTCTGAAAACTTGAGCATGTATCTTCTAAGATATGCTTGTATAACCACAGAAGTATTATCACTCTTAAGGAAATTAGCATTAATTCCCTAATATCATAATACCCAGTTCATATTCAAATTTTATCTTTTGTCCTCAATATAATTTGTAAAGATTTTTTTCTTTTGAACTAAAATATAATTACAGTCCATCATTACATTTGATTGTTAAAGCTCTGTAGTCTCTTTTATTCTAAAACAGCCTCCCTGGCTTTTTTATTTATTTTTTATAAAGTACACAGAAGCCAATTTATTATATTCCCAAAATTAATAATATTCAAAACTTTAGAATCCAGCATAAAAATTGAATGGTGGGCTTCCTACTTCATGAATATAAAGCAACATATTTGCCAAATTCTGATGTCAGTTGTAGCATTAGTAAAATTCCAAACTACTGAACAGAAGCTACAGGGGCCTGAAGGGCTGATGTGGAGGAGAAAGAGGTTTAGACGCCATTGTTATAGTGCAGAGAGGAAAAGAGAGGGCGCTATAGAAACATCAATGATGAGGGGGAATCACTGTTTGCCTGGCTCCTGCAAGACCCATTCCTGGAATTGAGTCCCCAACCAGGGCCTATGCCCTGACCCAGAATCACACCCTGGCCTCCTCGTTCATTTATCCAAACTAAACCACTGAGGCAAGCCAGCCGGTGCTTTCTCACATTTTCTACAGTGTATGGCTTTCCTCCACTATAAAAGTCTCTGAGGTCCAGTAAATTTAAGGCTATAGGTATAGGATCTTGCACATGCTCTACATTTGAAAGATTTCTCTTCTGTATGAAGTCTCTCATGTACAGTAATACATGAATGGCTTTTAAAGACTTGACTACATATTTCATAAGGCTTGTTCCCAGTCACATTCGGTGATGTTCAGTAAGTTCTCACTGCTGGTCAAGGACTTATGACACTCCTCATATCTGTAATACTTCTCTCAATACTACTCTGCTGCACAACAAGGCAGGAACACTGATTAAAGGCTTTGTTACATTTTTACAATCATAAGGCTCCTCTCCAGTGTGAACTCTCTGATGCGCAGTAAGGTTTGAGGACCATCTAAAGGCTTTGTCACATTCTCTACATTGATAAGGCTTCTCTCCATAATGAACTCTCTGATGATAAGTAAGGTGTGAGGACGGGCTAAAGGCTTTGCCACATTCTTTACATTTATAAGGCTTTTCTCCAGTATGAACATTCTGATGATTTTTTAAAAATATATTTTATTGATTTTGTACAGAGAGGAAGGGAGAGAGATAGAGAGTCAGAAACATCGATGAGAGAGAGTCATCGACCAGCTGCCTCTTGTACACCCCCCACTGGAGATGTGCCCGCAACCAAGGTACATGCCCTTGACCGGAATCGAACCCGGGACCCTTCGGTCCCCAAGCCGACGCTCTATCCATTGAGCCAAACCGGTCCCGGCCATTCTGATGATTTTTAAGGTTGGAGGAATAGATGAAGGCTTTGCCAACATTCTCTACATTTATAAGGCTTCTCTCCAGTCTGAACTCTCTGCTGCTTAGTAAGGTGTGAGGAGCTGCAACAGGCTATGCCACAATCTACATTTATAAGGCTTCTCTCTGATGATAAGTGTGAGGACTGTATAAATGCTTTGCCACATTCATTACTTTCATAAGATTTCTCTCCACTGTGAATTATCAGATGAATACTAAGTGTTGAGTGTCGGGTAAAGGCTTTGTCACATTCTGAACATTTATAAGACTTTTCTCCCATGTGATTTCTATGATGATTAGTATGTCTCGAGGACTGACTAAAGTCTTTTCCATTTGCCCTGAGTTTGTAAAATGTTGCAATAGTATGAATTCTTCCCTTGTGTACATTGAGAGATGAATGGCATTTGCCACATGCTTTACATTTGTAAGCAGCCTCCTCCCCAGTATGAATATTCTCTTGTTCATTGTAATTTGATGATTGCTGAAAAGACTGAGCACGTTTACTTCCTTTGTGTGTCTTCTCCACAATAGGAATAACCTGATGTATGTTGTGATTGGACATTTGGTCAAAGGCTTTTCCACTTTTATAGTGGTCCTCTGCAAGCTCACTTGAACAATGATTAAGATTTTACTCTTGCTTAACGTCTTTCCAATGTTCAACCCACTGATAACTGCTATCTCCATTATGTATACTCAGTATTATTTCAGAGAATAAATCTTTTATTCTAGGCTTTGGCATAAAGACCTGGTTATCTTTAGGTGAGATAGCCAGACAGGCCAGGTTGCTGTAGTTCTCCAACATCACATCCATGTGCAATTTCCACTGAGCTGTATCCAGGCATTCCCACTCCTCCTGAGAGAAATCTTCGGCCACATCCATGAAGGTCAACGGTCCCTTGAGAAGCAGCCATTTGGTCCTGGTCCTGATAGGGGTCTGGGTTGTTTTCTCAGGTGAAATATGTTAAGGAGTCCCAGAATGTGCCTTCAAAGGCATCCGCACCGCCTGTTAATCAGCTCACCTCACACTCGCAGTCAGGAGGAACTGGAAATGAGGAAAAGGCCACTCCCTCCTGTCCTTTGTCACAGGTAAAAGTCAGGAACAATGAGCTCCTACATGGAGACCACACTGTGAGGTGTTTTATTTCATCTTCATGTGTCTCTCCTCCCAAAGACATCCAAAAACTCCACTGTGAGAGGCTCCAGAGCAGAGACTTAAACAAGGGCTTCAGCACCTGCAGCACCCCTCAGCCTTCACTGCTGGGAGGTGGATGGAGAGCATCAGCTTTAAAGTACAAACACCCTCCACAGGGAAAACCAGCCATCTTCCCTCCCTGACCTTTTTTTAAAAGGTATTGTGTTTTGAAGAGACCAATCCAGTTATCTTTCAGAATATCCCACAATATTAATTTTTAAAAAATATTTCCTTATGATATCTTCTAACATATTCATCTTTTCCCTAACGTATTCATCTAACGTATTCATCATTTCTTTACAGAAGTACCTCTCAGAGTCATTATGTTACTACACAGAAAGCCTCTCCAAGTGTATACCTTTTAGGAGCCTCTGCTCTCTTTACAATAACCCTTTCTTTGGGAATTGTCCTCATCTCCAAACAGAAAACATACACACATATACACAAGCCTGTAGAGTCATATTTCAACTATGTAATCCCACCTTTGGGGCCAGCCCATTAGAAACACTTCCTTGAAGATGAATGCAGATATAAGTAGTTACAGAAATGTGGACAGTTTTATGGAAGAAGATGAGAAAAAACAGGATTAAATACCTATTGTTTATAGGTGAGTTTGAAAGTGAAACAGTTATTGTAGTTATAATGCCTATACCTGAGGGAACAGGCAAGAGAATTGTGTTGAGTTAGGTCCTAGAGGAGATACAACCAAGATGACACACACTAAAGTCAAGTCAGCTGGACAATACCAGAGCAAGTACAGGTCTGGCTTAGCTGTTGGTCTGATGGAAGGTTATCTCCTATTGTTACCATCCAACTTTAGGAAGAATTGTTTTTGCACAGTGCATTATTTATGCAGGCTCAGAAAAAAATCCTGGGCTAGAAAAAAAAAGTGGAAAATAAAACTCTTACCATTTGTAACTGAACGGATGGACCTGGAGAGTATTATGCTGAGTGAAATAAGCCAGTCAGAGAAAGGTAAGTATCACATGATCTCACTCATATGTGGAATCTAATGAACCAAATGGATGATCAAAAATAGATCCAGAGTCATAGAAGCATGAACAGACTGCAGAGCCTCAGAGGGAAGACAGAGGAGGGTAAATAGGAAGAGATCAACCAGTGAACTTATATGTACAACCTATGGACACAGACAATGGGGGGGGTGAGGGCC